AGGGATAGACAACTACAGGGATAGACAACTACAGGGATAGACAACTACAGGGATAGACAACTACAGGGATAGACAACTACGGGGCTAGACAACTACAGGGATAGACAACTACAGGGATAGACAACTACGGGGATAGACAACTACGGGGATAGACAACTACGGGGATAGACAACTACCGGGCTAGACAACTACAGGGCTAGACAACTTCGGGGATAGACAACTACGGGGATAGACAACTACGGGGCTAGACAACTACGGGGCTAGACAACTACGGGGATAGACAACTACGGGGATAGAAATCACTACTGGTGATTCCCCCATTTGGGTTCTGGGACCCCATTGTGTGGGAAAACAAAAATAGACCCACCGCCTCCCCAAAAAGCATGTCTTAAGAGTCGACTAATTGTTATCTTTCTTCGAAGTCAGCGTATTTCTGTCCCAAATTCTTTTCCTAGTTTACATTAACGACATAAAATGAACCCTCTGTAATGGAGTTCAAGCTGTTATGTATGCCGATGATCTGGCGCTACTGAGTTCGGAGGAGGACACTGAAAAAGCACAGACAAGGCTTCAATACCCAATAGTTGGTACATGCCTGTAAATGGGTCCAAAACCACACACACCATTTTCAGTCTCTCTACCAAACCCCAGAAAGTTTCACTTACATATGGCAGCCAGGCACTGAAACATGATTACTCACCGTCATATTTAGGAGTAACCTTTGACCCAAGACTCACATGGAGAAAACAGATAGAAAAGACACAGAGCAAGGGACTCAAGAGAACACAACTGATGGGGAAGTTAGCTGGAACAGACTGGGTGGGGGGGAGGGGCACACCTCAATGTCCTTAAGAGGACCTATACAGGCTATGTGAGGCCAACACTAGAATATGGAATAGCTGCTTGGAGCACAGCAGCTAAATCAAATTTTCAGAAAGTCTCAAAGATCCAAAACCATGCTCTCTGTATTATGACAGGGGCAATGCGCTCCACGCCTATATCAGATATGGAAACAATTACTGGTCTTCATGATCTGGAAGATAGGAGAGACACAAAGCTCCTCACCCAGCTCTCCAAATACCACCACTTTAAAAAGAACAACCCATGCACAGCCGACTGCAGAAACCCCAGAAGGCTGGACTAAAGAGAACCTGTTTTTATGAAGAACGCAAATGCCAAGCTTGCTGTCCCTAAACTACCTCCCATAATACCAAATGTTCCACTTAAACCTTACAACAAACTCCCCCCCCCCCCCCCCAAATTGGCTTAGGGATAGCCTGCCAACAGTCAGAACCACTGTAACAGGGATTTCCTCCAAATCATCAATGAGCAGCACTGATATGAAATAAACTACTGAAGGAGAGATCAATAGACTTTATCCACACCAGAGTTGGATTCGAGTGTATACAGATGGTTCAGCCAAGAGAGCAGTAAGAGACGGAGGAGGAGGTATATACATAGAATGCCCAAATGGTTTAAAAATCAACCAGGCTGTACCAACAGGTTCATTTTCCTCCAGTTACAGAGCAGATGCAGAAGAACTTCTAGCGGCATGTTTTTTCCTGATTGGACAACAGCACAGCAAATAGCAGAGTGGTCTTTCTAACTGATGCTATGTCAGTTCTACAAGCAATTGTTAACCCAAAAGACATTCCGTTTGTAGACTTGACGCAACAGCTTCTTCTTCTTCTTTGCGTTCACCAGCTGTACACTCTGGCGGAAAGTTCTGGTTTGCTCGTCCACTACTAAACTGCAGTCCTGCTCCAGAACCTGAGTGTTGTGTGTGCATCAGTTTTACAGATCTCATTCTCTTGAATACAGACTGTTGGTTCCTTGCCTCTCCGGCAGATGCACTCCGACTTCAAAGGAAGCTCCCCAATTAGTCGACTTTTACGACATGCTTTTGGGGAGGCAGTGGGTCTATTTTTGTTTTCCCCACAATGGGGCCCCGGAACCCACACGGGGGGACGCAACAGCTGATTTACTTAGGCTCTTCAGTAAAACAATCTGTACTGCAGTGGATTCCAGGTCACTGTGGCTTTGAAGGCAATGAAATAGCGGACAGATTGGCCAGAAGCGGCAGTGACATGGTACAACCAAATAGCGACTTAACCCACTAAGAGATAAAAACATAAATACAATCTAGTATCCAAGAAAGGTGGCTGGATGCCCACACCAGATTTGCTCCCCAAGACTCACTTCATCGCCTCTCTAGAGAGGGACAGTATATTATATTCAGACTAAGGACTGGGCACAGCAGATTTCGACAACATATGTTCAAATTTTTCGGTGTAGGAAATACGGAGACGTGTCCCTGCAGCGTGGCACCAGAAAATGCTGAGCATGTGCTCCAACACTGTCAACTGTATGCTGACAACAGAGATCCAATCTGGCCTGTTCCAACCACACTGAAGACAAAACTGTATGGTACACGAGAGGATATGGATTGCACGATAGCTTTCATAAAGGCTACCGGCCTCCTGATGTGTTTTCTGACAGAAGGATCGAAGAAGAAGAAGAAGAAGAACGTGCATCCGCTTGAGAGACAATGAACCAACAGTCTGCATACAAATAAACCAGATCTGCCAACGTATGTGCATGCATCACTCAGGTTCTGGAAAAAGACTAAAGTCCAGAGGCGGATCAACACCCAAAACTTTCCGTCGCAGTTTAAAGCCAATGAACTCGATGAAGAAGATGACAACCGATGACTGAACCGTAGATTAGACTAGATATTAGATAGATGCGCATATTTAGCGTCCGAATGCTGTTTGTCTTTGACAAGCGACGAGTACCACTCTGTCCTTCATCGGCCATAATGCTTAAGTTGATTGTGAGTCCAAGGGTGACTTATAATCCCCACACCTGTCTGGATCTAGATTTCTAGACAGAGAACAAGTAAGGAGAAAAGAGATAGAGATGGGAGAACAAATGTGTGTGTACACGTATATAAGTGTGAGATCACGTGTCTCTGCGCGTGTGTGTATCTGTGTAGGTATGTATGTCTACACATTTAGTGTATTCGTACCAGGGGAGACAGGGGCAGGGCAGAGAGAAAGGAGAGTGAAGAGAAAGAGAGAGAGAGAGAGAGAGAGAGAGAAATACGAGCGGAGAAGAAGAGGAGAGGGGGGGGGGGCAGATAATGAGGAAAAAATGAAAAAGAGTACAATTATTGTAAACTGCCAATAGCTCTCGAAGACTGTAGCAGTCATTTAAAAACAATGTGAGGGGAAAAATGACTACAGGTGGGTGTTATTTAGAAGCAAAGTAATTAACATCTTTGAAACAAATTGTGTATTGTAATCCCAACAGAGGAGTACCGACCATTCACACCTCCACCACCAAGAGAGAGGTTGAGCTACACTCGGCACCAGCTGGAGATGCTCAACGGCATCTACCTGGAGGTTCGCTACCCCAACAGCACGCAGAAACAGCTCATCGCAAAGCGGATCGGCATCACCCGGGAGCAAATCAAGGTAAAAGTTAGTTGTGGTCGCCTGTTCGTCACCATGCTAAGTGCAGTGGTATGGGTGTTGGTTGGCAATCACAGAAGATGATGGGTATCTGGCAGATCACTCTAGATGTTGACCAATATTAAAGGTTAAAGTAGAGAGGATCGACTTTAAGCACCAGGTTTTATCCCATATACCTCGGTCTCTTTCCGCAGAAGAGCTTGCCGCCTGCCGAAAGCGACACACAGAGCACGAGCATCGTAGCTCCTGTGACGATTCCCAGGGATCTCCCTAAAAATAGCTTTCGTGAACTGAATGGCACAGTCGTGAAATTCTAAGATGTTACAGCTCTGGTGTGAATGAGCGCAACACAGTCAGGTATAAATAAATAATACAAGAAGAAGAGAAGAAGCAAAGGAAGATGAATGAGGAGAAGACAAAACGAAAAAATGTTTATGTATAGTATGGGGACCCTTTTCAATGCCTTTAGGCATATTGGGTATATAGTGCTAGACTTATATTTTATAGACTATAAGGCACTCGGTCTTTGATATTGTAAACACCACGCCAATCGCCTTTTCTTCCTAGGACTTTACCTGATATCCATTATAAGCTACATTATTATATTAGTTTATGCTTTAATTACTTCTGTCCCCTGTTGGCGAAGGACTCAATGTCACATTTACACTGTCCCCGTGCTGGGCCGCATTCCGTTGAAAATAAGAACAGATCCCCTGCCTCCCTCCCCAACAAGCATATCCTAAGAGTCGATTAACTAAGACCTTCCTTCGAATTCGTAGTTATGTTATCATAATCGACGTCACTGCACACTGGACATTCCTATGAGTGCTCTGTCCTCCCATGCAGCAGCCGCTCTCGTGTACTTCTACTAATTGTTCCCATGAGACGTTGGTTATAATTTCTCCTATCTCGGCCTCGAAGACGGCTTATACGTGCCTCACTATGCTTTACTTCCATATCACGCAATCGTGTTAGTGTCAGAGAGTCGTCATTATCCACCAGCCCAGCGTTATCGATATCTGCTCTATCCACGCGTCTTCCCACATCCGCTGGCTCATGCCATTTAACAACATTCGGAGTACATCTGCTCGAGACAGTCTGCATACACATTAGTCAGGTCTGTAAAACGGATATGGACGTAATATTCAAGTTCTGGAACAAGACTGATGTCTAGAAGTTGATGAACTACCAGAGCTTTGGCATGAGTTTACAGAGAATGAACACGAAGAAGAAGGAGAATCTTCACATTGGAGTTTTTTGTATGTCTTTTAGTTCGTCTGTTAAAATCGTCCAACATTTGTATGTTCTCTTCTATTCCGTTGTTTGAAATTTCCCGCGGATATCTACGTTCTTTTCTACACCAACTCTTAGTATTGTCCGCCATTATGTACGATAGCTTCAATTCCACAGACTGATTTTGTCCTTCAATAATAATACTGTACGTTTAAATGTTTCGATGTGTCATTCTGTCAGCCTGCAGGAATGAGGGTGTTTAAAATCTGCTTTGTTTTGTATGCTTCTCTACAGATCTGGTTCCAGAATCGCAGGCGTAAAGATGTGGTGACGAAATTGGGCAAGAGTAAAGGTCCGTCTAAAGAAGATAACTTGCAAGTTTCGGAGACCACTGACCCCACATCTCCTCTAGGCAGCAGTGGGAGTAATGTGCCGGTGAAGAAAGATAGCAGCGGCAGTAATGAAAGCTCTGAACATACAGAAGGCTATGCAACAAATATTATCGGTGATACAGTAAGTATTGGTGGTATTGACTACGGTGCAGAAGACGTGGATGATGAACATTGTGGTGAAATCAACAATAGTGACTCCTTTAATGTAAAGTCTTTAAAGGGGGTTAATTCAAACGGTGTATCATCAGCACCATCGAAGATAACTACACTACAACCGCCGTCATCATCAGCATTCAGTAATTTAGTGTCACCAACTATACTCAGAGGCATGATTGCCGAGCTAAACAAGTTCGACAATGAGTATCTGAAACTGAAAAAAGGTAAAAAGAAGAAGCACAAGCAAAAACCGTCAAGACAATCAGCGCCTTTATCTAAAACTTCGTGTAAATCTGAAAGATTATTTCAACATTACGACATGATGGCTCCTCCCAACAAAATCACGCCTAGCGCGTTTTTGAACACAGCAGTGAACAAGTTTAAACATGCAGTTGATACTTCTGCTTTTCAAAGTCCCCGTGAAAATCGAATACCAACTACGACAAATGACAGTCGACTTTGGGAAGGGTTTCCGCTGAATCCTTCAGTGCCAGGGTTGACTGAAAACCCGGACTTCATTCAACAAAAAGCAGCACCGGATCTCGTCCATTCGTCCTATAACTCTACGCTGAATTCTTCAGCACCACAGTCACAGTTCAGCAATTTCCTTTCTGGAAGAGACAGAGTTTCGTTAACCCATTCCTCAGTGCCCAACACACAGACTCATCTGTACGATAACCTTCCTGTTCTGTCAGACCTGCTAGGAAACTATGCATCTCATTCAGCCGGCGCATCATTTGCTGCGGCAGCTGCAGCAGTAGCCGCAGCTCAAAGGCAGCAAGAACACTCTATTCTATCATGTGTTTCTTCAGGACAGACCCAACCAGGAAATAACTTACCTGGTGTTTACTTCCACCTACAAGGAGACAGCAACAACAACAACAACACTGGAGACACTAGCAAGAATTTGCCTGTGGACATCTGCTTCCCGCGCTCGTCAGCTTTGCCACATTCTTATCATCAAAACTCCTCGCTGACCATGAATCGTGTATTTCCGTTCCCACTGGTTGCGGAGCCACCTAGAATGTTATCCAGCCGTCAGTCGGAGGCGTTTCTTCACCACAGCCAATGGCCACCTCCCGTTTCTGCCATCAGCTCACAAGCATCTACACAAAATACTGCACTTGGCATTCACGGGAGTGCTGCTTCCTCGCCTGTGAATATTAGCAAAGACCAGTATAGACCATTGATGATATCCTCAATTACAAATCCTTACTTCCACACTCCCGCATCGACATACTCACTCACTTCATCAGGTATGACGTCTCAGTCTCCAGTATGGACCATGCAGCCACCGACAGATAACAACAACTTTACTCAAACGCAGCTATGAGTTTCTTCCGAAGATACCAATAACTTCACTGTTACCATGTTTTTAAATTAAACACTGCCAATAGTAATGGTGAAAATACTGTTAAGTGTTAACTACAACCTGTATTGGAAGACGCTCGCTTGCGGGTCGGAAGGTCGTGCGTTCGCTCCCTGGCGGAGCGGACTTTTTTTTCCCCTTCAGAAATGACCTTGGCTCCCAAGAAGATTCAGCCCGGAGTGGGTACCTGGTGCAGTCCTGGGACGTAAAGGCGGCCGGTGTTTGCTGACTACATCACCCATCTTGTGCCGATTGGTCTATACAAATATAGGTCTACCCCTGTATGCCTTAAGGCGTGGAGAAGGGTCCTTTGTAAAACCTTATTGGTGTGTGCATGAAAAAAATAGACAAGGAACAGCAAAGTAGAAAAATATTCTTGGCACGGAAATGTGGTTTGTCAGAATGCCAAGAATATCATGGAATGGGCGAAAAACGAATGAAGCAGATATCCAAGAAATACACCCGAGCCTCAGGTTATTTAGAGATTTTAGACGCAGTCAAGATTTTTTTTTTTTTTTTAAATACGAATGTTGGGGAAATGGAAACATCGCAAGAGAAACTGGTATGTCTGCAATACACTGGCAGCTTTATGCAAGTCATCATGTCATAGGAGCTTTTTGTATGTCTGCAATACATAAAGGGCATTGAACAATCATTATGTCCCACATAAACAGGCGTGTCAGATCTGGTTTCCTATTACCTCTCTTCATATCACGTTAGGAAGAGAATGTAGAAGCTGGTGTAACGGTTTGAGCCTAGTGAAAAGAAAGCTCTGTTACTAGGAAGTTAGTTAGTTAGTCGTGGCTCTTCAGGTCTGGCGGTTCGTTGCTGTCTGCTTTAGGTCTTGGATGTTCATTACTAATGACATTAGGCTCATGACAGAGCCTTCCCTGACAATCGTTCTACGCAGGGTCTCTCTATCTTTGCGAATTAATTAATTACATCTGCTATTCAGAACATAAAAACCTCATGGGACGATATCAAACCAACCGAAAAGTATAACCATTCAGAGTCACTTTTTCTCAACCACAGAAGACAAGTAAACGTTGCGACAAGAGAGCTTTCACGAGCACATTGTATGAATAAACAGTACCATAAATATGAACCTAGAATACACAAAAACCACGTCAAACAGTTATACGAAACAATACAGTACATACTAGTTTGACCGCCAGAATATAAAGAAATCTCGCACTGTGTAACCTCTACGACCCTGATCAGCCAATGTGATAAACTTGGTAAGAAAGGACAACAGTGAGAAAAGTTCTTAGTCCGTGACTTTGAGTGTCCAGTGATATCGACGTTTCCACTTAGTGTGCAATTACCTGTTTTATTCATGGTCACAAATGCTTATCACTGAGAGGGGATATGTTGGTATTCCGTTGATAGAGAAATTTAACAGTTTATAGTGTCCAAATGCCATTAAAATTGTCTGGCTACAAATATAAAGCTGAGATAATGCATGATTGATAGATAATCCATCTCTCTATCTCTATCTCTCTCTCTCTCTCTCTCTCTCTCTCTCTCTCTCTCTCTCTCTCTCTCTCTCTCTCTCTCTCTCTCTCTCTCTCTCTCTGCTTCTTTCAAGCCTTTGTGACTCACAAATACATACATTCAAATTATTTCCACTAGCGTGTCTAGTAGCTGCTGTTAAAAAAAACACACAAATATACAACTATTGTGTTTGTTGTTGGCAATAAAAGCTCTAGTCTCTTTCCCTTGTTCACATGTATAAAATCTCAGATTGAAGATCTCAATCTATGCGCATGTACCAGATTCATCCGCATGACTACCATGGATAATTAACGACGCCACCATAAACGGTGGTTGTTTGGTTGAAAATGCCTCAGGATTATTGTTGCCAATTCTTCCTCTATTAAACACCTTTTGCAGACTACTTCGCTAGTTACAGCTGATGTGTGTACATCCTTTACTATTATTACATTTACTACAGACGAATGCAGGACTATCATGAACCCGGCCTGATGATGCAAACATTTACGTCTCTCTCCTAAGCACTCTGGGATACACTACAGACAATACACCGCAGACAGACAGTCCACATGCTATACCTAGCAGATGTAGAAGCAGAATAAACAGAGCTGAAACAAGAAATATTGTGAATGTAGTCAAGTTAACTATGTTCACGAAATGTTTTAAATTATCATTATTGGGGGGAAAACAGTATAATTTATATATATATATATATATATATATATATATATATATATATATATAATATATATATATATATATATATATATATATATTGCGCAAACATTAATCAAGTTTTCTAAAATCGAATTAACACTGTTCTATCTATTGTCTTCTTCACTTTTACCGGGTTGCAGGCCAGTGTCGTGGTTTAAAATATTTGTTGTGTGCCTCTCGCGTGATTTGAGTGACAGTTTTCTGGATCGTCTGGCCGTATTCAGCTACTCCATCTATCTAATTTTTCCTGGGTCTTCCTCTGGCCTTTATTCCCGATGTTCTACTGTAAAAGGCTTTATAGGCAATCTGATCCGGTTGTATTCTTACTAAATGGCCAAACCACTTCATTCTCTGTCTTTCAATGTTTCATGCATGCTCTTGTTCCAACTTTGTCTCTAATGCTGACGTTTGTGACTGTCTCTTCGAGTATTGTTGGGGACTCTTCGGAGACATCGCAATTAATACTGTTAAAACTATATCGAGAGAGGCCGAGACGTTGATACAACGGACACATTGGGATGGGCGCTCAGACTTTCCCACTTATAAATTATACCCTTCAATACCCTAGGGGAAAAGCTATTCGTGGAAGGGGGGGGGGGGGTGTTAATATCCCAGATATCGCAGCGTCTTCATCAGACAGGTTACAAGAAAAAACAAATGAATGCAAATCAATCGAAAAAGAAATGGAAATATCGCAAGAGAAACTGGTATGTCTGCAATACACTGGCAGCTTTATGCAAGTCATCATGTCAGAGGAGCTTTTTGTATGTCTGCAATACATAAAGGGCATTGAACAACCATCATGTCCCACATCAACAGGCGTGTCAGATCTGGTTTCCCATTACCTCTCTTCATATCACGTTATGAAGAGAATGTAGAAGGTGGTGTAATGGTATGGCAGAATTAGAGGTACAACTGATAGATGGAAAGACTGGACTAGATGATGCAGTAGTGTACACGGATGGTTCTGTTTATCGGGTGTAAGATTTGACTGGGGGTTTTCAGCTAGAATGAAGGGAATTTTTTGTGTGCAAATCAAAACGGAGCTTTTGTTTATCTACTACTTCAAGCATGAGAATGGAAGTGGGGGTAATCACTGCAGCCCTAAAGTGGATAGCAGAAAATAATACCAGAGGAATTATTGTGTCTGATTCTCCGTTGGCATTGCGGAAGGTTCAAAATGGACTAATCTGGCATGAGTGGATACCATGCATCAGTGCGCCAACATTGCAGGGAATTACGTGGATATACTGTCTGGGATATGCAGGAGTGCGAGGGAATGAAAGAGCGGATTTTGTGGCTACAAAAGCGAAAGCTACGGGAACGCTCGAACTGGACAAGGGAGATATTCTGAAGACCACATATGAACGACTGTTGGCAGAAGACACGAGATTAGGTAAAATAACATGGGCAAGAATGTGTGAATGAGGAATTAAGTGTGGATCCGGCAAGGAGGGACGGATGAGAGGAAGAGATCGGCGTGTGTATAATCAGTGTGCTACGGGAACAGTTAGCATCTACACGTCATTTGCTGCGGGAGACAGAGCATCTATGGGTACGTCCGGTGTGCTATGATGTCGATTCTTAAATCAGTAATCAGGGCCCCATTTCATACGATCGCAAGAGCCTTGCTTCAGATCTGCCTAATATGACACTCCGCCAAATGTTATTTATCATTATCCTACTGATACATTTTATTATCAAGTTTGTCACCCAGATTTCGCATTTATTACACCTCTGTTGGCATGTAACTGCTCAAATTATGTCGCAATTTCCCTTTTCTTGTGTCTTCATAAAGTCGTTAAAGTCAAGAGGGTCGACTTCAGTGTACGGGGATGTGTCCCATAGGGCTCGGTCTCTCTCCGTAGAAGGACTAGCCGCTTGCCGAGAGCGTCGGACAAGGCACGAGACTGACTTGTTGGATTCACTTTCTTGTTGACATGGGCAGAAATACATTTTCCCAACAATGGAAACACTTCTGTGTGTACCCGTGTATGCGACTAGATAGAGAGCCAATTTTTTTTTCGCAGCCAGTGAATTTGTCAGCGTAAACATATTTGTACACGTCTCATGGAGAGACCTGCCAAGTGTCCACCATGTACACAAGCTTAGACATATATTACTCATTCAACAAGGCCAAATTTGTGCTTTTGCTTTCTTTCCTCAGTTCGAAAAGGCGTGCAAAAGTTCTCCCTCTCGAAAACCTCATCACTTCTGCATGAAAAAGGAGGTTGTGATGTGAGTAATTACTCTAACACAGTGTTGGGAACTGCTCTGAGGTAATAGCTCGACATTACATTTCGTATAGGATTTTCCCAGCAGAGGTTGGGATAAGCTGTCTCCCTTTAAGTCCAAATCGAGTCCTAGGTCATTGCCCCCGAGTCCCAAGTTGTTGCCACCAAGTCTCAAGTCACCAAGAATACTGCAAAGTCAAGTCTTTCGTGTATTTCACGTGCAAGTCGTGCAAGGGACAATACCTATACATTAAGCTCGTTAGTCTGTTATAATAACAACCAAAACAACATCCAACAATGGTTAGATTATGATTTTGTCAGTAAATAGCTGACCTGAACGTTTGCATGCTGAAGTTATTGTTATTGTAATACATTTTCAGAAAACTGTATTTCATTAGTAGGCTAGATGTATGTCACTGTTGTAATTGACAGTGGCTGACAGAGACCAAGAAGTCGCATCAAGTCATCGAAGCTACAAGTCGTTATCCGAGTCTTTGGTCGTCTAACGAAACTTCAAGT